TTATTATTTTTTTCCCCCTAAAACATTTGTATTTGTTTTTCATTTAACATTTTGTTGGTGGCTACATCACAATTACAGTGAAAAAAAAACTGACATGATTTATCTTGGTTTCATTTTTTTTATATCACAAACACGTGCATTTTTAACAAGGGTGTTTCAGGAGATTAGGATTGATATAACAATAAACACTAAATTTCAGGTGACCCTAAAGTTGTTCTCTAATTTCTGCATGTGTCATCAGTTTATGGAAAACACTGACTGATCATATTAATCTTGATGCATTTCAATATTTAATATTAAAATAATCACTTTTTTAAACTATTGTAATGTCAAGTTGTAGTAAGATAAATGTGTATGAAACCAGTAAGAAAATGAAAATAAAGGTTTTAATATAGTTACATCTGAAAAGACTAATAATATAGAACAAGGAGAAAAGACTAATAATAAAGAACTAACTGACTCTGAAGTCCATGTAAATTAAACCATCTATAAATAACGATGATATCTTAATAATGGAAAATTATCCAATTTAACCATGTTATTGTTTGTGGACTGTGGATATTGGATAATTGTTTAGCTCTCCACACTACTCTACACAGTTGGCATAAATTTCTACATCCTCATAGTCATTGTCCACGTCACTTCTTTGTTCATCAGCATCCACATTAAGGTAGTCATTATCCGAGTCCTCTGAATCCTCCTTCTGGTGGAAAATGGTTTCACCAGTGGTTGTGCGAGGAGCGATGAATGATTCTCGTGCGCGGGCTGCCGGCCTGCCGTCTCAGTGCCCCCCCCCTCAGCCCCGAGCCAACGGCCGGCTTGCGATGGGCCCAGAGTGAGTAGCTCCGGGAGAGCCCATCTGCATTACCATGCTGAACCCCCGCTCGATGTTGTACCATAAAGTGGTAGTCTTGAAGGGAGAGGAACTACCGCGTTACCCTGGGATTGGTGTCTTTAGCCTTCGCCATCCACTGGAGCAGAGCATCGTCGGTTATCAGGGTGAAAGGTTGTCCAGCGAGGTAATATTTGAGCTCCTCTACTAGCCATTTGATGGCTAGGGCTTCCCTTTCTACCGCGGTGTAGTTCCTTTCTGCGGGGGTTAGCTTGCAGCTTACGAAGAGGACCGGGTGCTCCTCCCCTTCGAAGACTTGCAAAAGAACGGCCCCCAGCCCTGTCTCGGAGGCGTCCGTCTGGACTATGAAGGGGAGGCTGAAGTCGGGGTTTCGCAGTACTGAGGAGCTTGTTAGGGCCCGTTTTAGTTCCTCGAATGCCTGCTCGGCCTCCCAACTCTATAATAACTGGCCAACCCCAAAAAGGCACGTACCTGTTTTTTGGTGGTGGGCTTTAGGTACTCACGCATGGCCTCCACCTTCTTCTCCTGAGGCATGAGGAGGCCCTGGCTGATGTGGTATCCCAGGCACTGGGCCTCCGTCAGTCCCAGGTGGCATTTCTTGGGGTTGGCGGTCAGCCCAGACTGTCACTTCTTCTAACACACTGGTGCATGCTGGCTCTTCTGATTGACTGTATTGCATGAATTGTATCACTAAACACCCAAGCTAACTGCATCCTTTTTGTCCTGTTGTGGCTGCTGCTCTACAAACACAAACTCCTCAAGTAGTTTTAATAATCCAGCAAACACTATATTATTTACCTAGCTGCCAAAATATCACAGGGATGTAGGTGCTCTAGCACCACCCCGGGTGGTTAGGAGGGGCGAAATAGAACATTAGGAACAATCCAGTGCTTATAGTACATGGTTCCATGGGTAATCTAATCATTTCTGAGATAAAAGTGTCTGAGACGAGAGTAGCTAGCCTTCTGAGACGAGAGTTTCTGAGACAAGAGAAGCACTACAAGGAAGAATACAATTTGCAGAGTCTATGGACAAATAAAAAAAACTAGAATGAGTAGAGAGAATAGAATAAAACGAATAAAACCCTTAGGGATGTGGTGTTAGAGGAAAATCTACAGTAGTAACAGTGGGATGGGTAACTACACTTCATTACACCCCCCGCTGTTGATTATTTTCCTAGAACAGCACGACACAGAGTGTTTTATTATTTACCTAAGAATAACAGAAAGTTACTGATAGATAGTGGAATATTTTAGCCATCCTATTCAAGATCATGACCAGGGATCTCTAACACTATTTATGTATTAGTCTTGTTAATGCTATTTAAATTATATATAACTCATGGATAATCAATGGCAACTATTTGAACAGCATTTAATAATTAATTAATGACTTAATGCTGTTCAGTATAACATCCTCTCTGCACTTACCCACAGTGATGGTAATGGAGTTGCTCCTGGATGATATGGAGTTACTTTCCCTGTATGAGTAGTCACAGGTGTACTGGCCCTGATGTGAGGCATCTACAGTCAGATTAAATGTTGTTGTAGACTCTGCAGTTTGCTTCTTTATTGAAGTCCCATTTTTATACAAACTGAAGTCCACAGAGATGCATGTTGGGCTGGGTGTGGTACATCTGAACTGAAGGACTTCTCCAGGTGAGACCACAGAGTTTGGAGAGATCCGAGTCAATGTGGGAGTCTGCAGGTCTTATAATAAAGAAATATATTGAATAATTTTGTAAATGCATTCTCTTTTGTTCTGCTACAACAAACAATATCAACTATGATATTGTTCACTTCCCTGACCAAAGCGGGCATTACGAGGAGCGCTGATGGCTTCACCACATCCAAGCTGTCTACACACCACCTCTGCATCCTTCAAGTCCCAACCATCATCACACACTGTTCCCCAACGGCCATTGTGCTGGATCTCCACTCGACCACAACAGTTACTCGGACCATTCACCAGCCTGATCTCATTATGGACTGATGTATTAGGTTAAAAAATGAAGGTGTTACCAAACACTGATTTTTATGTCTATCAATTTTACATATGAGCCATAAAATGGAATAATATTAGAAACAAAATCAGTTGAGGTTGAACAAAAGTTTCAACTTTGAACAAGCTTATTCTTGAGAATTCTCAATTTGTTCAGACGACTAAAAA